ATTGGATTGCCCCAAGTATTCGACCTTGAGACACCCAAAGTCACACTCCTTATTAATTGCCGGGTCACCCCTTAAGTTGACTTGACTACCACCCCACTCGAAATTCATAGTCAATGCTTCCCAATTTGTCCGTACTTCTCCCAACGTGGCCAACCAAGCTACTCTCAAAATGATGTCAACCCTGCCCAAGGCAAACACATAGCCATTTGCCTCAATAGCACACCCTAACAATGAGATAGGAAGTTGTCTACACCCCCACCCACCCCACGACTCTTGTCTATGCCCATCTCCCAACTGCACCCCAAATCTGTTTGTCTGTTTCCGGATGCAATCGTAATAGGCAAACCAAGGATGAAGAAGTAAAGTTGTGGCTTATGCCACTGTCTAGCAGAATGGTCACCGTGCACCCCGCTACAATAAACTCCTTGATCATTCTTTGTCCCCGTGGGCTGTCCGGGCCCTTCTGCTGCCGACAACATGAGAGTCTTCGTGAGTGCAGCCAAAGAGGCTGCGTTCTCTGCCAATTGGACACCCTGCGCTTCCAATTTCGGGTTCATCAAAGCCTGTTCTGCCTCCACCTCTCACTTCTGTCAAATGTTCAGTGGTTGATCTCGTCATTCCGATGGGGGACAGATCCGCCAGGTCGGATCAATACATGAGAACAGAAAACTAATAATTAACGGAAGATATCGTTGCTTAAAGCCACCAGACTGAAATCCAATTTTATTAACTTATGAAACAAGAGTGAATCTAAAGGATGTCTGCCACCTAAAAACAACACGTCTTTGTGGAATGATGAGGTGAAACAAGCCATAAGGAACAAAAGAGATTGCTACAAAAAGTTGGGGACAAGTTGGAGTGATGAGAACATAGAAGATACAAGGAGGCTAAAAGATAAGCAAAGAAAGCCGTAAGGGAAGCACAAGGGAAAGTGAACAAGGAGTTGTATGAAAAGTTGGACTCTAAGGAAGGAGAACTAGATATTTATAGACTTGCTTGTCTTCGTGATCGCAGGACTCAAGATATTGCAAAAGTTAAGTGTGTGAATGATGTCGATCAGAGGATATTAATGGACGACAGAGAGATAAACGAGAGGTGGAGATCATACTTTGATACACTATTCAACGGGAACAAAACGCAAGATATCGGTGATTTGTCCATACCAGATTGTATGATAAATCGTGATTTTGTGAGACGGATCCAAACAACGGAAGTTAAAGAAGCTCTGAGGAAGATGGGACAGAAGAAAGCAGTGGGTCCAGATGGCATACCTATGGAGGCTTGGAGAAGTTTGGGAGAGAGAGGCGTTGAGTGGTTAACAAGTTTCTTCAACATGATTTGGAGAAACAACAAGATGCCAACAAGTTGGAGGAAGAGTACTCTTATCCCCTTATTTAAGAATAAAGGTGATGTACAAGAATGTGCCAACTATCGAGGGATTAAGCTAATGAGTCACACCATGAAACTTTGGGAGCGAGTGATTAAGAAAAGACTTCAAAGAACTGTGACGATTTCAGAGAATCAATTCAGTTTTATGCCTGGTCGCTCAACAACTGAGGCCATTCACCTTCTTCAGCAACTTATAGAGAAGTATAAAGACGCTCATAAGGATCTGCATTTGGTGTTCATTGACTTAGAAAAGGCATATGATAGGGTACCTCGAGAAGTTCTTTGGTGGGCCTTAACTGGGAAAGGCATATCACGCAAGTATATCAACATCATCATGGATATGTATGAGGATTGTACTACAAGTATCCGTACTAGTGTAAGAAGGACGGAAGAGTTCCCTATTACTATCGGAGTGCACCAAGGATCGGCTCTGAGCCCTTTCTTATTTGCCACAGTCATGGATGAACTTACGAAGTCAATTCAAGACGATGTACCGTGGTGCATGATGTTTGACGACGATATTGTATTGATTGATGAGACGCAATTAGGTCTTAAAGCAAAGTTGGAAGTATGGCGACAAACACTGGAGAATAAGGGTTTCAAACTAAGTCGGAGCAAGACAGAGTACATGGAGTGCAAGTTTGGTGGAGGTAGAAGCAATGGTAATAGCGGAATTACTCTGGATGGTAAGGAGATACCAGTAAGCGATATGTTCCGTTACTTGGGCTCCATAATTCAGAAGGACGGTGAGTTAGATGGAGATGTATCTCATAGAATCAGAACAAGGTGGATGAAGTGGAAGAGTGCGTCAAGATTTCTATGCGATCGAGGTATGCCGACTAGACTGAAGGGTAAATTTTATAGGACGGCAATTAGGCCTGCATTATTGTATGGCGTAGAGTGTTGGGCGGTGAAACAATGTCACATTCAAAAGATGAGTGTGGCCGATATGCGCATGCTGGTTTGGATGTGTGAGCATACTAGGAAGGACCGCGTGATGAATGATACAATCAGACAAAGGGTGGGAGTAACACCTATTGAAGACAAGATGCGAGAGCCGCGCCTACGGTGGTTTGGTCATGTGCGTAGAAGACTGAGTGATATACCTGTTAGACGAGTTGAGATGTGTGGAGAAGAGGCAGAGAAGAGAGGGAGAGGAAGACCCAAATAGACGTGAGTTAGGGGAGTTCGAAGTGATATGCTTCTTCTGGGGTTGGATGAGGGCTTGACTTTGGAGACAGCTAAGTGGAGGGTGGGTATTCGTGTGGAGGAGTGATCTCGTATCATCTTTTTCCCTCATCTTTTTCCCTTGTTTTTTTATCCTTATATATATAAGCATTATTTGTATCCTTTTTATTTTATCATTTTTATGTATATTCATCTCTTTTTATATTATCGTTTTATAATAGCTCATCTTTTTTATTTTTATTTCCTTTCTTTTCCTTTTGGTGGTGATATCATGTATCAATTCATGTTAGCCGACCCCAATATCTTTTGGGACTAAGGCTTGAATGTTGTTGTTGTTGTATGAAACAAGAGTGAATCCTAATTAAGGGTTTAAATGCATCATCTACTAATTAGGGGTTTAAATACCCATATACTAATATACTAATTTCAAACTAGGAAACAGAATCATAGAAATCCTAATTAATTCCAAATAGGAAACAAAATAATAGAAATCCTAACTAACTCCAAATAGGAAACAAAATAATAGAAATCCCAAGTAACTTGAAATAGGAAATAAATTAGGAAAGTTATAAAAGAATAAAATTAATTAAACAGCCCGCAGCCAGCCCACGAAGGTGGGCTCAAGCCCGTCCCTGCCTTTGGTAAACTCACAGGACCTCGGCCTCTCTTCCTCCAAGTTGAGCTCTTGCTATCTATTAGTTGATCAACTGGCATATGCACTCACAAAGACACTTTCACGACAGTGCTTTAACGTTGCTAAAAAACAAGCTCAGGATCACTGACAGTAGCAGCATACGTGGCTTGTGGGGCGTATAGAAGCAACTGCAAACCAAATTAATCTACAACATTAATTATGATATATTTCATATAAAATCAAATCTGATCTTCAACATTATTTGTAATATATTTCATATATAATCTTACCGTGTATAGCTTAGAAATATGCAATTACCTATCAATTCCTGCCTCTCTAAATTCTTTATTTTTAATGAGATAAAACTGGCTTAAAATGGAATATAATACAACATGATATGGTCAATCAAATACTTAGCCCTTTTGAAGTGAATATTCTTGTTTCCAAATTTCGGTGAAAAAGTATACATCCCGTAATATTTTTGTCAATGAAGTTTATCTACAAGTTTTAGAACTTAAAAGGATTTGCATGTTTTTTTCGGGCGGCGGCGGCAGTGAAGTTGTGATTTGTGAATATGAACTCTGGCTAATCGAAAGTGAAACCATTTAATACTATGCCAAGGAAGTGGAGCCAATGTGATTTTCTATTCCGTTTACATACTTCTTTGTGTCTTATGCTTGTACCATCAGTTGAACATATCATTTTGGCGATTAGACTTTTATGATAAATGGAAGTATTAAGAGACCATTTGGTAACCCCTATTTTGAGTTATCTGACTTGTCAACCAACATTTTTACAAAACACGTAACACTTAGTTTCACGTGGCTGAATTGGCCGGAGTTACTTTTGTGGCTGAATTGGTCGGAGTTGTTGCAGAGGATCATTTTAGCTATTTATTGATATAATTTTTTCTTAGTTTTATTAATGAAATATACCTTAAATATAATATAATTTCCCCATAATTCAGCTGCTCAGCCAGAACTTCCAATTTCAGCGTATGCAGCCCATTCAGCCAATTTAATTGTTACCAAATTGGTTCTAACTTCTAAGCGTTATTTCGAATTCTCGAATTGACTTCTTATGATTAATTTTAAGTACTAAGTTTTCTAGATTTAGTGTTATGTGATTAAGATATCGAGCACTCAGTTATTTTTATGAATTCTAGAACATTATTATGCTATTATACTTGTTGTTATGCCCTATCTAGTGATATATCCTTTCGACCTTCGATATCTACAATATCTATGTAGCTTGTGAGCCTGTCATCTCAAAATGGCTTATCAGTATTTCTGCTCTTAACCATTTTGGGATTAAAGAAAAGTAATAGTTCCTTAGCTTTTAATGCAAATGCAAATGCTAGTAGCAATGTTTTAATTGCTTAAACAAACGATTTTATACTCTCAAAGTTCTGGATGCTCATTTAACCACCAATCACTATGTTAATCAGATTTGACCGATTTCTGTAAAAAAAAAATCAAATTTGATGGATAAGAGTTTAGGATGTGCTGGAAGCCTGGAATACAAAAGATAAGCCCAACTTAGATCCTTAATCAAGGTGAACATTTGAACATAGAGGAGACACATTTACTGATCATAGCACAGAAGCAATCATAGTGGTGTGCTGTTTTGCACCACTACCATTGTTACATAGCATTTTGCTCAATTATCTCCCTTTATGCTTCAATACATTACGTTTCTACTTTCTAGTGACTAGAAACCATAACCAGTCACTTGTAAAATTGTGTGCGTTGGCTGATGATTATTTATTTCCCCTTTTCTCTCACAAAAGATTGATAAAGATGGGATGGGCTCTGCTGTTATGAAGTCCTTCAGAGCATTAGCGCTCTTTGGTGCTGGAGTTTCTGGGCTTATCGGATTTGCAACAATTTCTTACTCAGATGAAGCAGAGCATGGCTTAGAGTCTCCAAGCTATCCATGGCCTCACAAAGGCATTCTCAGCTCATATGATCACTCTTCGTAAGTAGATTCAGTGCATGTGAAAAGGTGTTTAAATGATTTAGAAAAGTGGTATAAGGAATGTTAGGTCAAGTTCTGATTATAGGCTTTTTCATTGAGGTCCTTCCAACAGCCCCCTACCCCTGCCAAAGAAAGAACAACAACAAAAACAATAATAGTAATAGTAATACTCCCTCCTTCCCAAATTAATTGTCATTTCAGCCAAACATTTTTGTCACAAAATATTTGACGTTTTAGGAATTCAATGCATTTCCCCCTAATGTTCCAAATTGCCAATATCATCATCCCTTTCTACTCTACATACAATTTTATCTTAAATTTAGGGTAAAGAGTCATTTTGTATGATACCTTAGTATGTGCACTTTTATAAAAATTCAAAGGGTGGCAAGTTTGATATGTTCATTTTGCTGCAATTTCACATTACTCTCCAATGGGGTTAGGCTTCATATTGCTTGTTTTGTTTAGCCGATGTCTGTTAAGACTTAAGAGTAACTACCCTGGTATTTGTTGTCATTAACTTGATTTGTGGTAACAGAATTCGTCGAGGTCACAAGGTTTACACGGAAGTGTGTGCATCTTGCCATTCAATGTCACTGGTTTCATATCGCGATCTTGTTGGTGTGGCATACACTGAGGAAGAAACAAAGGCAATGGCTGCTGAGATTGAAGTGATCGATGGCCCTAATGATGAAGGCGAGATGTTCACACGTCCTGGAAAGCTCAGTGATCGGTTTCCACAGCCTTATGCAAACGAAGCTGCTGCAAGGTTTGCTAATGGAGGGGCTTATCCACCTGATCTAAGTCTCATTACGAAGGCATGAATGCTTTTAACCTTTTAGCTCTTTTTTGAATAATTAATTTGATGAAGGGATTCTCATCTTTTAATTGAAACAATTTTTTCAATACAGGCCCGTCACAATGGTCAAAATTATGTTTTTGCACTTCTTACCGGCTATCGTGATCCTCCTGCTGGTGTCTCGGTAATTTTCTTTTTGAGACTCTATGCTTTACTGCATGAATTTATTGTGTGAAGTAGTTTTATTCAATTGATTGACACTAAATTTATTGCTCATCTAGTCATGATTAAGCTTAGTTTAAAAGAGGGAGCCCCTAGGGTCAAGCATGGTAGTCAAACTTGAGATCCAACATTGAACCAGGCCGTGGGTATAAATCTTAGATTTTTCCTTGGCAATTACCCAGCATATACTACACACAAACCAGAAAAGACTCCTCATCTTCTTTATTGGCAATCTCCTCCTCCTCCTCCTCTCTCCCTCCTCCCCCTCCTCCTCCTCGGGTAACACTAATAGAGTACTATTTTTGGACTTGTTTATGTAGTTTCATTAATGTTTCTATATTTTCATTGCTTAGTTTGTTATCCTTTTGTCTTTCTTATCTTCTTATATTTATAGCTCTGATTTCATGTGTCAAATAATGTTGGCCAACCTCAAACTCTTTTAGGACCAAGGCTTGGATGTTATTGTTGTTGTATAAACTTCAAATTTGAACTTGTTTATTTTTTTCCCTATTGTGATTGTTTGACCGTTTCATCATGAGATCTTGATATTCAATTTGGCTGCTTATCAAATTATGTTATTTCTATAATGTGTTTGTCTGTTTGATGATAAGATAAATATATATTCAAGGTAGTCAAAGTCGTGAGGCCCAATCAAGGTGCTAGAGTACTCAAATCGCTTGAGGCGCAAGGCGCAAAAAAAGCGCTTGCCTGACTCATGTCAGACGCACCATCTATATACTATAAAATATATACCATAGTTATAATTCTAAAGTATAAAAGAAATTAGAAAAAGGAACAAACAAAACTAAAAGAAGAAAATTGTTAGATGTTACTTGTTAGGAGATAAAGTATAAAACGAAAGAAGCAAATGACAGATAAAAGAAAGAAAAAAGATAAAGACAGACTTTTAAATGATGAGATAAAAATAAAGAAAGATGTAGATTTTACATTCAAAAGGAAAAAATAAAAATAAGAAAAGAAGAAATTAAAAAGACCAGAAAGAAGATGGAAAAAATAGGAGGAGAAGGAGGTTACCTTGTGCATGTTGTGTAGGTTGTGGGTCGAACACAGCAAATAAGAATGCATCGGTGAAAACTTTCTAAGTTTCGTAGACTCCGTAATACATTGACTAAGAAGGGTTTTAACAAGGTTTAAGTTGTTTTTCCCCTATTAGTTAGATGGGCTATATCTTATTATTGATATGGGTTTATTTAAAATAGGTCCAAATCTTATTTAAAAAAATTCAGAACCCTTTACCAGTCCAGGCGAGTCAGGCGTGCGCTTCTAGCGCCTCTGTGCTTCTTGCGCTAGTATTGCGCTTCAGTTAGACAGCCTTGCCTGGAAGTGTATAAGACGCTGCACCTGTGTAGCGCCTAGCGGGCGCTTAAGCGACAAGGCGCACACTTTTGACTACCCTGTATATATCGTGTTCAAGTATAATATATCATGCAGTAGTATAAATGCTCGTCAGGAAAGATGAGTGTCTATGTTCCGCGAGGCTTGCGCCTCCGCTTTGCGCCTCGACTAAATACACCTAAAACGGTTGACAGTTTTTTGTTATATTTTGAACAAGGAAGTAATATAAAAGGAAATGAGTTGTGATCCATTGACACAGCATTAATTCATATTAGTGTGTCCCAAACGAGAGTTATGTTTCAAACACCTATTTTGTCCAGAAAAAGACCGGCTTACTAAAAAGAAATGTTTTTTTTCATGCAACTTGTAATAAATTTGCAAAAAAAAAATTAAAATATGATGAACTATTATTCATGCAGTTGTACTGTTGTGCATTGCCAAAATACGTGTATCTGTATAGATGCATCTGATGTGTGTTTGGTATCTATAAATATGAATAAATTAATAAATAAATAAGTAAATAAATGCATCATACACATGAATACATGTGTGTGTGTTTGTGTCTAATGAAACTCATCATCATTACCCCAGTGCCGCAAAGGCTCCCACTTACGATGTGGTAAGGGGGGGTCGGATGTACGCAGTCTTACCCTTGCACTAGAGCACAGAGAGACTGTTTCCGGATGACCCATAGTAAAAAACGCGCCGAAAATTGCATGGACCGACTGCTACTTCATAATAAAGAAGTGCAGACAGTTCAGTGAACCATTTTGCTTTATTCCATCATATTCCCAAGCCAAAAAATAGTGAGTCTTTGGCTTCATTGCAAATGATGGAAAGTTGTGTCTAATGAAAGTACATAAATAAAAGTAAAGAGTATATAGAATTTGAAAGAATGACTAAAATATTACTAGTAGGCTTTCAATTGACCAAAATAAGACTGCTTTCTCATTGGTGATTGGACAAATAAGTGACCAAAAATAGAATAGATGGTCGAAAATACCCTCTTATGTAAAGTTAATTTACACCTACACTATTGTGCTGGTCGAAAATAGCCCAACCTGCCTTCTCTCTTCAATTCTCGAAGATGCGCTCAGAGAAGAGAAAACCATCCCAATCTGTGACCTTCTTATCCCTGGAGTCTGCGGCCTTCTCTCCTTCATCTGCAGTCGTTGCTGCCTCTCCATCTTCGCTGCCGCCGCCCTCTGTCTTCGTCTTAGGGGAGGGGGTAGGGTGTGGGGCAGGGTGTGGGGTGTGGGGCAGGGGTAAGGTAAGTGTATGGGGCGGCAGTGGCGGTGAGGCCGTGTTGCCTGCAGGGCGGCGGCCAGTGGAGCCGGCAGCAGCTGCGGTGAGTGGTGGTGTCACTGTTAAACTTGTTTGAAAATCAGGTCACTCGAAGTCTGGGAGTAACTGTAACTGAGGTACGTTAGTCACTGCCAGTAGAGCAACTGTCACTGGCGGAGGCGGCGGGGTAATTGGCGGCCACGGCGGGTTATTGTGGCCGAAGTCTATGGTAGGTCTCTGTGGCTGGAGTAAGTGTCACTGTCACTGGACGTATGTGCCACTGTTACTGGGCATATTTGTCACTGTCAGTCTGTCACTGGTCACTGTGACAACTAGTTTTTCAACCGTGCGATGCATGGAGTGAGAATTTTTATAAAATGAAAAGGCAAAAATGTTAATCTCTTCGACCCATAATTAATTCATTTTAATTTGTCAAGGCGATTGAATGGTAGAAATTTTGTTGTTTATAATTGTATAGATGAAACAAAAAAGTTATGAATCACATATTCTTTTCCATAAAAGAATGAAAAAAATATATATTGGAACCTATAAAAAGAAATCTTGAAGTTTATTTAGAGATAGAAGGAGTATATGATATTATCATAAAAAGTAAAATGTGATAGTAATCTACCCATACTTTGTACATGAGGAATACATTCTGAATTATTTAATTTTATGAATTAGTGAAAAAGAAACAAAGCAAAGGAACGATTTAATTCAATGGTGAGATGAAAACATTATAGTGATAGTGAAAAATTAATGTTACATAATAATGAAGAATAATATGGAAAAATGTAAAGGAAGTGAAAGATGCTAATCATATATTTTAGAAAACTTTAGAAAACTTTCATTAGATTTAACAATATATAAAGTTAAATGTGATTAATGTTGACGGGGTAAATAGTGTGAATAAACAAAACTCAAGGAGTAAATAATTGATTTAAAAAGATGCAAGGGTGAATTAACAATTTTGACTTTCCCTCAAGGGGCTAATAGTAATAATCCTTATTTTGAAAAACTTATGGAGTAACATTGAACAAGTTTCCTGCTAATATTATACAAAGTCTTATTTTTTTCATTAGTCAAATACAACTTCCATACAAAACCTATTTTACATAAAACACACGTAAATGAAACACCTATTAAAAAATAATTATTTTTTTGCGAATAATTATGATTTAAAATTTCAAACATTCTGATGTAAAAATAAATAAATTTGAAGTTTAATTTATTTTTTATTACTTTAATCCTATTTTTTTAAATAACTGAAAGATTTAAATAACATATTTTAATTATGAGATGTTCTTTTTAGTACTTGAGAATCTATGTAAGAAAACATTTAGATCGAAAATCTCGAGTCGTTGAAATTTAATAATTTTTTATATACAATATTAGTGTGTCATATGTTAGATTATAAACAGTTATGACATTTGACACATTTTTTATAAAAAATAGATAACAAATAAAAGAATTACTCTCTCCGTCTCATTGGACTTTGCCAATTTTCCTTTTTTGGTTGTCCCAAAAAAATTGTCACTTTCCTATTAAAAGTGAGCAATTTGTGGTTATCCTGGTTTCTCTCTACTCTGCACAAACTTCAACCATACCCGTCCCTACACATATCATGTATATAATCGTTCACTTGAGAATGATTTCAAACAAAATTGTCAAAATTTTATGATAACCTAGGCCCGCTTTTCATTCTTTCCACTTAGCTGTGTATATATATAGATATAGACATATAGATATAGATACATTATTGTTTGCCATTTTTTTTTTCAATTTTTGGGATGACAATTTTGTAAAAGCTGAAATATTATATTTGTAAATTTATATATACAACATTGGTGTCAAATGAAAGATAATAAAAAATTATGAAATTTGATATGTTTTTTTAGAAAAATTGGTGACAAAATAAAAAAGTTATAATACTTCAAAAAAATGGAATTTTCATTTTGGTGGCCCCATGTCTGTTACTACCTCCGCCTAACATGTACGTGAATAGATCTTTCACATTATTCACTTCTCTTTGACAAAGGACTAACCACGTAATGGTACAACATAATGAAAGGAATCCCACCCATTTTTATTCTCATGTTTAGGCGGGAAAACTCTGCATCATTTCCACTCTACTTTGTGAGGCCGTTTGGAGCACCCAATATGGGCTCATAAGCCTGAAAGTATAAAAAAATTCACCAAACACATGCTGATTTGGTGGCTGTTTGGGCTGATTTTTCTTATCAGCTGAAAAAAACAACAATTTAGTGACTGCTTAAAATGCCGATTTGAGTGTTTTTTACAACTTGGTGAGGTTGATTGGGTGATTTTAGAGTACAGGGTTTAATTTTTGTTTCTGATGTTGTACAAGGGGTTTAAAGTGCACATATTTTTTATGACAAATCACTTGCTGCAGATTCGTGAAGGGCTTCACTATAACCCCTACTTCCCTGGTGGTGCAATTGCTATGCCTAAAATGCTAAACGATGGTGCTGTTGAATATGAAGATGGTACTCCTGCAACAGAAGCGCAGGTAAATATCTTTTTGCTGCTTTTTGCATTATATCATATCTACTTTTTTCTCCAAGACCTGCATGTAATACTATGCTGAATGTGCAGATGGGAAAAGATGTTGTATCATTTTTGTCATGGGCTGCTGAGCCAGAAATGGAAGAGAGAAAACTGGTATGTCGGTATTTTACTGCTCCTTCCCATTTTTCTTGCATCTTGTGTACAAATAATAGAATCGTGAACATCTATATACCTCCTTTTTGCAATTGCTATTCCTTTATAATATTGTGTGTATGTCAGCGTGTATGCGTGCGCAATGTATATTGTAAAAACATGTTATCTAATCCTTTGTTGCGTGGCAGATGGGGTTCAAGTGGATATTTGTGCTATCACTTGCACTTCTCCAAGCAGCATATTACCGGCGGTTGAGGTGGTCGGTTCTCAAGTCAAGGAAGCTGGTTGTTGATGTTGTCAATTGATTCTTCAATCCCACTTTTTTCGCTATGAACGTTTGGGGTCCATCTTGGAGGATATTTTTAAAAATAATAATGCTACAGTGTAACTTTCAATTAGTTTGGCACTTTGGGTTGTATTTCAATTTTCAATAGGTTAGGTGATGGTGATGAAGTGAAGCCATCTCTCAATAATTCTTTGATGTATTTTGGAAATAAGACAGCACTGATATACAATCCACCGCCCCCTTTACTAGAGGCTTTTTTTTTATAGTTTTCCTTTTTCGAATTCTGTTTTTCACTCGCATTTTTGGTTTCTAGTGACCTCGCGTTATTGGCTTATTGCTACATTCTCAAGTTGATGTGTTTTCCATCATTCCATGCTCTTCCTTGGCATTACTTTATTTCTTATCTCGAAGGCTCAACTGGTTTGTTTGTTACCATACTTTATACAACTTTTAGGCAAAAGCCAGATTTGACTTGTGGCTGGGGTTGGTTGTATGATCGGTCCGGACGGGAATCACCTGATTTTTTTATGCATTCGGGACTGATCGATTGGTTCCTGGTTGGAATGGTTGGAATCAAACTTGTTAAAAGTGCTCAAAAGCGGGCTTTAGCGCCAAAGCGCAGGTGAGTGTCGGTTCCCTGCCTGGCTTTTGTGAAGCGACTCGTCGTGAGAAAGCTTTGCTTTTCCTTCGCTTTTCATGAGCTCGCTTTTCAATTAAGCGATCACTTTTCAGAGCTTTTCACAAAAAGTTGTCATTTGTCTGGTCAACTTTTTTTCAAGTTTCACAAGTGTTATCAGCTTCATGCTAGAGATTAGGGTTATATTAGTTTGACTTTCCGCGCACTAGACAATGCCGCATGTGAAGAAGCTGCATGTTTGGAGTTTGCCTAGACTTTTGTTCGGCTAGAACTCTCCAGTCTCCAAGTGAGCCACACATTCTCTTTCATCCAAAGTGTAAACATCCTTCGTCACTCTGAAGTCTTTGTTACAGAGAATAGCTAGCTCTTCAACTAGGGGTGGACTGGTTCCGGTTCGGGCCCGGTTGGGCCTCGGTTCATGAAAGGGGAGGCTCGGAACTGGCCCGGGTAATCACGGGTCCGGTTCGGGCCTCGGTTCTTATATATTTTTTTTTGGCTTTTCCTAATTAACCCCCAACCCTCCCCTCTCACCCCCAAACCACCCCAAACCACCTCAAATGGCCCATCATACCCAGCCCAACCCAAAAACTTAAAAAAAAATTCAAAAAAAAAAAAAGAAAAAAAAATTATTTTGGCCTGGACCGGGCTCGAACCGGCTAGGCCGGTTCATGAATTAGGAGGCCCAGGCCTGGCTTGCCTACCTCACCGGGCTGGGTGGCCCGAATCGGGCACCAACTGGTTCACTGGCCCGGTCGGGACCCGCACAGTAGCGGGCCGGTCTGGTTCCGAGCCGGTTGGCCTGGCCCGAGTCCACTCCTATCTTCAGCCTTTTACTCTGTTTTTTGTTTGAAACATCTTTAAGCCTTATCATAGAGGACTAGTTACTTGATTAAGGTTTTAATTCCAGTTTATTCCACTAAATTAAATTTCAGTTAATTCCTTTCAGTTTATTGATTAATTAATTTTTAGTTTATTGACTTTATTCCATTTTATTCCTTCCTGTTTATTGGTTAATTAATTTTTAGTTTTTTCCAATTCATTCCTTTCAGTTTATTGATTAATTATTTTTTTTGTTTATTCGAGTTCATCCCTTTCAGCTTATTCGAGATTAATTAATTATGACTTTTAATACAATTACGTTTTTGCATAATTGTGTGATGAGTGTTTTGTCACTTTTTGCCGCACTAATATTATTCTTAATGACTTTTTTTGACCACTTGTGCATTTTTGCCTTAATTATATATTATATTTTTATTTTTATTTTTTATAAGCATCACTTTTTGTGAGAAAACTACGTTTCGCTTAGCGCTTTCGCTTTTAAGCAAAGCTCAAGGTCATCGCTTTTGGACGCTTTTCGCTTTAAAAAAGTTTGGTTGGAATCGTAAGTGGGGGATTAGGGAGAGTTGGGATTAGAATTGGCTAGGCCGATTATTCAGGGATTAGGCTTATGAGTCACATCATGAAACTTTGAGAGAATAGTTTGTTTAAAGAATTTGAAAAAATATAAAGACTTCGGAGAATCAATTTGGTTTTATGTCTGGATGCTCACCATTTGAGGTCATTGATATTTTTAGACAAATTGTGGAGAAGTATATAGACACTAAAAAGATCTGCATTTGGTGTGCATTTGGTGTTCAGTGACAGAAAAGGCTGAGGTTGGTTGTATGATAGGTTCGGACGGGAATCACCTGAATTTTTTATCGCATTCGGGACTGATCGACTGGTTCCTGGTTGGAATGGTTGGAATTGTAACTGGGGGATTAGGGAGAGTTGGGATTAGAATTGGCTAGGCCGATTATTCAGGGATTAGGCTTATGAGCCACATCATGAAACTTTGAGAGAACAGTTTGTGTAAATAATTTGAAAATTATAAAAATTTCGGAGAATCAATTTGGTTTTATGTCTGGATGTTCAACATTTGAGGTCATTGACATTTTTAGACAAGTTGTGGAGAAGTATATAGATACTAAAAAGATCTACATTTGGTGTGCATTTGGTGTTCAGTGACAGAAAAGGCATACATTAAGAATTTCGAAAAGTCCTTTGGTACGCCTTAACTAGGCATGGACCCACCAATGGTCTTGGACCGGGATTGGGATTGGCACTGTGCTGGTTCGGATTGGGACCATATAAGGGTTCCGGTGTGGAACTGGGTACCTGATCAGATTTCCGTCGTTCCCGGTCTCGGACGTGAGAAATAGGGATCAGAAAGAGAAATGTGTAATAATGTATAAGAGTTGCTCTGAATTACCAAAAGGGAAAAATAAAGTGTAGTTTGGGATATTCAAAAAGGAAATTTGGAAGTTTATTTAGGGATGGAGGTTGTAGTGTTCATGGATACTATTTTGATTATGTAAACTTAACTTTTTGGGAGCATGTGCACTCATGGTTACCTATGTAGCCTTTTACTATAAGTACATTGTTTTCTGTAGCACATTTGATATTCTTTATTTATAATTGTTACGATTTTGGATGTGCTTTGTGGACTGTGGTTGTCTTAATCAAGCTCTACGGCAATTTTTAGCATGCTGCGGGACTAGCTGCGGACAGTCAATGCTATGCCCCGGGTCACGTCTGTGCCACGTAGACAACTGCCATACAACCCAATGAGAATAACCGCATTCCATTCCCATTTAATTTCACAAGACATCCGAAAGATTCATACACCAATCTGGTCAATAAACACATGTAAACAACATCAATATTTAAAGTTGTTGGGATAATGGGTTCGATGCTGATCGGCCCACTACCCTTATGAATCCATTGGTCACCTGTTCCCATTGGAAGACGTTCGCCCCCAGATCCCCATTGTTCAAGACAGCCCATCTAACACTCTAGGGGCCTCGGCCATAAGCTTTGAAGACGAGCCGTGCGGAGCAAACCCTTGTAAATCCCAGGGCCCAAACTGGCCATAGAGAAGACGCTCGTCCGCACCCAGCAAGTACGGACAGAGGCTCATCCTTTGCCCATCAAGGATCCTCCATCTTGACCCATCAAGACGCTCGAACCTGGCTATGGAGAGAAACCGAGATATTAGCGGGAACAACATTAAATGGGGTAGATTTGGTGGTTGGGAGCTAGCCATCTACAGCCCGCCACATCAACAACCTCACCTACCCCTTATTAGTATAAATAGTAGCATTTATTTCATTGTAAGAGGTTGGCAACTTAGCATTCTAGCATATAGCAATTGTAATCAGCTCTTAGTATAGCGATAGACGAACGGCCTCTGGGCTCTTGTGGCGAAGTGACCTGTACTCGGCTTCTTATTGGGATTTAATAAGATACAGCCCACTTCCTACGACTAGTAACTCTTTTCTTGCTTGTTTAACCACTTAACTCACCAAACCATCCATTCGAAATCCAAAGGTACGTGTTGGGTCTTTGGGTTGACGGAATAAATCTCAACAAAAGTCAAACAAAGTGCGAAATAGAATTGTTTGATATGAAGCCACACACGTGCTACAATGGTTTAGAAATATCCACGAGCTTTTACATAATTTGAAAGTAGAACAGAAAGCATGAACCACATATTTCTTTCTTTCTTGGACGATCAACCAATGCAAAGGTGCCGAAATCAGAACTTTAGTCTAAACCCTAAAATATTGAGCCCCCCCCCCCCCCCCCCCCCCCCCCCCGAAAGGCCAGTACTCCACAAAAAGAAGTAATGTTGATATGCAGGCTATATGGTCGATAACTATCGTTTCAAGTATAAGACCCATGCATATGTGATACATATACATCTAAGGGCATATTCTACACTACCCCAACCACACGTTAATACCCATAGTATATTACTTGTAAAGGCATCTGACCCGCAGATCATTTATTTTAATAAAACTAGTACAGTACTCGTGCATACACACGGGAAAGAGCAGTCGGTGCATATAATTTTACTCATTATCTAATTAAATATTAACATAAAACAACTTTTTAGGATTCTACATTTTCGAAAAATAAGAGTTTAATAAGCTAATACCATAAAGTATAAGTCCATACAATATACTTCTTCAGTTCCCTTTTAATTGCAACAGTCAACATTTCATGTTTACCAACACAAAAGTTTGAGCATTAATATATTTCATTCCTTATTAGTAAAAAATTTAAAAAATTCATATTTTGAAAATTTAGAATGAGAAGAATTTAGCAATATTTTTAAAAAATTTAATTTGTAATACATTAATTAATAAAATATAGTCAAAGTAGAATATGTTAATAGTGCAAAAAGTCCAATGTTGCAATTAAAAGAGAACGGAGGTAGTATATTCAATGAAGAGTTTATCAGGAAAAATTAATTAACACAACTCATTAGAATTTGTTACTTATTCATTTTTATGATTAAAATAAATTTTAAAAATTAAATACTATTCTAAAAAATTGAGAGCAATAAGTGAATGACATAAAATTTAAGTGAATACAATAAATATTAAAATTAACGAATATTAGTTAATTAAATAAGAACTTGTTATTCTTTTTTTTACTTCAGGGGGTGTCTGGGGGGGGGGGGGGGGGGGGGGGGGGGGGGGGGGGGCTGGAGTAATCATCATGGCTGAAACTTACTCCATTGAATTTCAAACCCCTATGTACCTCACGGGTTTCGAACTCGAGACCTCTCACTAGACACGGTAACATCACAACCAGCTGGGCTGAAATGCTTGGTTACTTGCTACTCATTATTAAATTAGTGCTAACATATGAGAGAGAAAATAATCCTGCTCAATTCTTAGCCGACTTA